AACTGAGCAGCCAATCACAGGTGAGCTGGGAAAGTATGACATCATAGTCCAGCTGGTCCACAAGAAAAATTAACATTTGTTGTTCTATTTCTTTCCTTGGTTCTTTGTTAGATTTTGTCCTCCACTTCTCCTTTCTGTTTCTTGTCTAGTAAAATGGGGAGAGCAATGAAAGCAACTTTCTACATTCAATTTATTCTGCAGTTTGACTTGGGTTGGGGCAGTGCAATGATCAGAATGCATGGGGAAGGAATGCATAATGTCATCTACTGAGGAGCAAAATCAAACAGAGCATCAGCTCAATTAAATAATGTGGTTTGATATGTAGGACCATGGTGGAAATGGGGCTAATTAAAACCAAGTTAGAGGAGAGGAACTTCCTTATTCTCATACTAATTCTTCCAGAGCCAACTGTAAGTAATTGTCTTCTGCTTTCACTTTGCTAACTCCCTAGTGGATGGGAGGAGCACAGGGGCTGTGGGCTTCTGCAAACTTGTAGGTTCTACAGGGCAGTCCTCTAAGGGATGGCAACTGTAGTGAAGGAAGGTGAAGAGAGATTCTCCCATTCCCAAGGTCCCACCATCCAGGGAACATATGTAAATGAAGACTCATCTAGCCTATCAAGGAAGTGTACAGCTCTGAAATCTGTAAAATCCATCTCTTGTTTCATTATCCATTTTTACCACAGAAGAATCCAGGGGGGCTAGGCAAGGCAAATTTCACAGAGAAGAAAACTAAAGCCCAGAGAAATTTGCATCTTCCTTAAGGTTTCCTAGCCAGAAGCTAGACTAGAATCTGGGCCTCCATAACTCTGAAGGCCCAAGAGGATGGTTATTTCCTATCCGTGGGCTTCCCTCTTTCCCTAGCCTCTGTTTTTTAAGGGACCTATGATGAAACCTTTTGGCATCTCTGAGTCTCCTTGCTCTTTTTCCCAGAAGGCTATCTACCATGTTGCCTCCTAGAGAAGAGCTCGAACCCCTAACAATGAGGGTGGGAGGCAGGAAAGAAGGGGCTCAATAGGGCCTGATCTCAGTGATGGCAATAGGTTGTAGTGAGCAGGCCCTGATGGAGAAGCAGTGGGCACTGTGTACCTGGCCGATGCCTTGTACACTTGATGCCAAGTCAAGTTATTTTGTATTCAGAGCAGGAGGGAAGATTTTTTTAAAAGTGCAGCTGGTGTAGTAAAAGCTGTGATGACTGAAAGCCACAGAGATTCAGTCTACCACTGGGGACAATTTCTGGCTGTGGGACTTGAAGCAGGGGTGGGAATAGAGCCAGGATATCCTGGCTGCTTTTACCCAGTAGGTTGTACATTTCTGCCCGGCATCCAGTGCTTGCCCAGGTATGGCTCAACTCAGCCTGGCACACTATAGCCTTTATTGAAACATTGGTCTGCAATTTAGACTAATTTTGTGATAGCACGATTGTTTTTGTTCATTTGTTTTGTTTTGTCTTAATCCAAACAAGACTATAATTCCCCTGTTTAATGTTTCTTACATGCAAAATCCTGTGTATTCTTATTGTAAAAATATACAAACAATGGAGAAATATATAAAGAAAGTTGTTAATGTCCCCGAGCATACACACATACCTACATGTTTTCCTTCCCATGTTTTTAATTCCTAGAGTTACCTTATTAGCAGTTTGGTGTGTGTAATTCCAGCTTAGACACATACTGCACACACTATTTAAAAAAATAAAATATTTGTATACATGTTGTTCTGTCACATTTTTTCACTCAAGTATGTGTCCATGTGTGTTTCTATGTCAACACATAGCAATCTACTTGATTCTTTTTAGCTGATAAACAGTATTCCAAAAAGCATATATACCATAATTGATTTAACAATTTTTTTATTGAGGGACACATAGATTGTCTTTTATGTAATGTTTTTTTCATTCTTACATAAAATTCAGGACAAAGATAGTTGAACATATCTTGGCATGTGTATATGAGTACTTCCATAGTCAAATTCCATGAGTTGAAATTGCCTGGTCAAGTGACATGCATTTAAAAATTTCCTTGCCAACTTGCCCTCCACAAAGGCTGTGCCATTTTACACTCCCATCAATAACACATGTTCCCTTCTTCTGGAATTTGACTGGAACAGTTTGCAGATACTTGTTTTAGTTTATTTCTTTTGCAACAAGCCCCATCTCAGACCCTCTCATTTCTCATGTGACTCAAAGGGTTTGTTGGGTTGGTGGGAGCCAAAGAAGAAATACAACTGAAGATGCTATGTAGGGTAGTAGAAAGAACACAGAACTGAGAATTAGAGACTTGGTTATTAGGACCATCTATTTGAGGCATTGGACAGGCCACTTTAAAACCCTGGACATCCATTCCCTCATCTGTAAAATGGAGATCATAATTGCCACAGTATACTGCTGTGGTTGTTGTGAGGATCAAAGTGGGAGATACTAAAGTGGTTTGTAACTTGAGGAGCAGGATATACATGCCAAGTGGTTATTATGGTAGTGTTATTGTAGCCTTAAACTAATGAGCTTTCCCACCAAACTACAGCGGTAGTTTGGTGGGGAAATATTGCACAGATGAAATCTCTAAGAAATTTCAGCTTCCCTGAAAGTTCCCATGCAGTTGTCCTGTATTCTTGGAGAACAAACCACATTGGAAGTAAAGACTGTTTTATGACATCAAGAATAAAATAGGTTATCTGCCTTTCACAGGAAGACTGAAGTCCTTTGTGCTAGACCTGACTCCTAAGTCCAGACCTTTTTCTATGACACTACTATGCTTTTATTTGTCAAGCACCTAAGAAGATTGTGGCCCTCTGCTACTTTCTATAATCACCAGAAAGAGAAAAAAGATACACATGAAATGTTCAAATAACTGTGTAGGGTGACTACATAAATAGCTCTGAGTTATAGCAGAGGTATACAGGAGGATTAGAGTGAAATCAAGTACCTTTTAATTACTATTTCAATCAATAGACTAGAAGACCCAAGTTAAATCATTAGCCAGGAAAATCCAGTTATATATTTCTATTTCTTAAAAAAATTCTAATTGTTAAAAATAACTCAGATAACTGCATTTTACAAATCAGAAATGTAACATTTAAGTAAATTACATTAATTTTGTAGATCAGAGGGTTTTTTTAGATTAAATTTACCATGATGTTAAAAACAAAAATTAACATGATAGGTTACTTTTTTTAAACCCCAAAGTTAAATTAAAAGATATCTGTAAAACCATTGGAAGCAGAACCATCCTGATTTCAACCTATTAATCAGGGATTTGAAAAGATGGTGATGTGTGTTTTTGCATCAGGAGACAAATAACCACCATGCCAAAGCAAAAGCTATTTAAAAATGCCTGATTTTTAAAAACCACCTATCTGGTATATTGGGTTTTTTTTCAAAGCAAACATGTATTTTAACCAAACCAGTAAAACCATGCATCATATTAGTAAAAGCATGGATTTTGGATTCAGATCTAGATAAAAATTTCTGTTGTGCCACTTTCTACAATGTTCATGTAATACTCATGTATGCATAAGTATATTTCAATTAAGGAAAATAAAAAGTAAATGCAAATTGATCCTTTAAAAAGTCTTGAGTATGCAGTTCACTTAGTGTTTGTCTCCATCTTTTATGCCTTGGAAGTGTCATTGTTGTTGTTTTTCCAATTCCCAGTATCATCACATTTTAAAATAAATTAGTCCAAAGAGGCCTCCTATTCTCTAATTTCCCCGGATGTTGCCTCTGGTTATCTAGAGGCCTGTTGTGTGACTTTTCCTAAAAGGACCTGGGCAGATATATTAGTTCACTCTCAGTCTTGAAGCTTATTTTGTTGGCATTGTGGAGAGCTGATTGCTAGATTTTATGAGGAGTTGAGAAAATTGGATGAACAGCCACTGGGAGTGTCATGACCCATTTTTACCATTTAAGTATGTGAGGATATGTTTATCTTTATAAAAAGAAGTTTGAAAGGGGAGAGGGGAAATCACCTATAATCCTCGTATTTTAACCCAATGGCTGCAGTTTTGTGTTCTTTTCCAGTCTTTATTTGCAAGCATATTTTACATCATTATAATTCGAATGAACTTACTATTTTGCATTCATTGCCATTTTTGATGACAGTTTAATTTGTCCTCTCTGGGTTTTACCATAATTTACATAAGCTAGCCAAGTCATGAGTTGGGGGTATGGGTTTGGGTACAGCAAAAGATAATTTTTGGAGGTAGATTTTAGGCTTTGGATACCAGCAAAAGTTTGAATTCCTAAAGACAAGAGAAGCAACGGAAGGTTTTAGAGAGAGCCGCACTTTAATGAAATTAAATGTATCTATATATATCTATACATATACATATACATATATATAAATTTGAAGTAGATTAATTATTCTTTTTTTGTGTGTGATGCTGTTTCAAAATGTGTTCCTTGTGTAGAAAGGTCGTTTCCCTATCCAGATTGTCATCTTTTTGAATCCCAGTGCCCTATCTGCCTCTCTGAGTTTACTGTGTATTCCAGAGAGTCCATCAGTGATACTTGCTTGACTGACAGGTGGTGTCCCAAACCCAAACCATTTTCCTTCCCAAAAAGTGCCCGTATAGCTGGACAGATTTCTTCCCTGTAAACTTATCTGAAATTTAAGTCTTCTTGAAGAGGTCAGTTAAGGAAGAGAAATGAAATACACCCCTCCTTCCTACTGTCAGGTGAGCCTCTCTCTCGATGGCCAGACCTCTGTCTAGACAACCCTGACAATATAGAAGTTTCCACCTCCTTTTCCTTTCCCTCTCCCTGAACCCTCCTCTTCAGTTTTTTTCCCCTTCCTAGGCGCTTCCTGCCTGGAAACAAAAGATTGGTCCCCAGTAGCCCATTCAGGGCGATTTTAGTTTGATACTCATCCTCTGATTGGCCTATGTGCGGTGCAGAGCTTGGGGTGACGTCATAGCAGAGAAGGGCTAGGGAGCGGTTGTCAGCTCTGGCTCTAGCGCTGGGCTGGGCTGTTTGGGGTCTTGCCTGAATGGCTGCAGCTTTTCCCTGCCTGGAACAAGCGTGCAGGTCCAGGAGGAGATCCAGGGGTGGGGAGCGGGCTGTACCGGGGGATGAGGCTCCTCAGTCCCGCCAGCCCGAGCGCTCAGAGGTAGAGGAAAGGTCTTGACAGTGTCGCTGGACCAGTAGCAGGTAAATCCCAGGACTTATGGAACCTTACTCAGGGGAGGGGATGGCCGCTGGGCATTTCTCTTATACAGCTAGGCAGATTTTCTGCCTTCTCGGATCCCCCTCTGGGCAGCACTCCAGCTTTGAGTCCCTGACAGGACTTCCCAGGAGCTCTGAGACTTAGTGCTCCATTTGCACGATCCTGGATGAACGAGGACTAGTGGGTGTGTCAGGGCCCCTCCCCGAGGGCTTGGGATCCTTCGCTGAGTCAAGCCCTAGACTCATATATTGGGGCCTGAGCCCCTGGAGGCACACCAGCCACTGTTACAGCAAAGGCAGTGCCCCCCCACAAGGGGGAGGGGTGTGGTGGAGGCCCTGGCAAGTCAAGGGGGAGGGGGTAGAGCCCAACCTGACAAACAGAAAAAGTGACGGTTTTTTTAAAGGGGCGCCTTTTCCCCTTTCTATTATATTTCTTTATCCTCTTTCTCCTTTATTGGTGGGAGTGTAATGGCAGGAGGACTCATTTCTTCTCCTTTGGGGTTTGAAATTGTGCAATAATGTCCCTAAAAAGCCTTAGGTCATTCAGTTGGCTGTTGTCTTTTCTGGGGAGGGGGTTCATTATGTCCTTTCGCCCTCCCTCCTTCCCTGTCCCCTCAGCTTAGAGGGGGCATTGCCCTTAGTTTTTTAACTGGATTTGGCAAGATTACTATCATATTTGTGGTCAGATGGAACATTTTAGATTCTTATTCTCAGCAGCTTTCCATTCCTTAGGTAGTGGTTGAGGGGTGGGGTGGGAGAGTGGCATGAGGGTGGTGCCCTGAAGGGAGGGAACCAGAAGCTCCATTTGTTTTTTGTTTTGTTTTGTTTGTTTGTTTGTTTGTTTTGTTTTTGGTCCCATCTTCCAGAATCCACTGCCAGACTCTGGACTTGAGGGTTCTGGGCTATGGTCTGTAGAAGCAAAGGAGAGAAGGGTGAGTGGCTTGGCTTTGGGAAGCATGAAGGGGGTGGTTGCAGTGCTATTTTTTAAAAATCGGCTTTCTGATGGGAAGCTTTTAGCTGTGTTAGTCTTGCTCACCCCATGGTTTTGCAGACTCAAATCCAGGCCAACTGTATGGCTGTCTGAGGTGTTGGAAAAGGAGGAGGTCCATTCCTGTTGGTGACAACACCGTGGCCCTGTTCTGAGATGACCGAAGTATAAAGGTCAGTGCGGTTTTCACTGGGCCATTTGCAAAATTATAATTTGGTAGGTCTCTGTTTTGATACTTGAGGCCTCTAATCATAGGCACCTTTGGGAAAAAGGAGTTAATATGGTAATAGACAATTAATAGGCCAGAGCTTGGAGAAACAGCCGTTTAAGCCTCTGTTTCTGGATGAAAATGTCATATCCCCTGCCTCCATGAAAGGCAAAATAAGAAGAGATTGGGGTATATGCTGAGTAAAAGCTGACAGCTGAGAATCTTGAGGACAGAGGGACCTTGAGATATCATGGACCAGACCCTCCAAGCTGGCAAGTGAGCCTTGTAGAAGAGACCTAACAGAAAAAATGAGTTTCAGCTGTCATAAAGGTACAGACAAGGGGCCATACACCCTAGAGGATGTTCCAACTAGCTGACCATTCCCATAGGTTGCAGATTTCCTGGTTGGAGGTGAAAATGGTATATAGAGCAAACAGCCTATAGAGTAAACAGCTATAGGCTGAGGTCTTTGGGGTAGAGCAGTGGTCATAACAAGTGAGGGAAATGAGGAATAACTGCGGGGATGGGGAGGTACTGTCTCCATTAGAGACTCCACTGTTGTGAGTCCAGAGACTAAGCTACTGTGAGATCTAAGAGAACAGCCATGGCAAAAATAAAATAAAAATAAATAGGATGTAGAAATCAGAATAGGCAGGTAGATTGGATGGAGTAGGCAGGAACAAAGTAATAGAAGGAAAAACATCATCTTACCAGGAAACCAAAGACCCTTATATCCCTGATGAGATGGGGAATTGATGATTGAGGCACCTGTGGCTCAGAACAGACTTAAAGGGAAAATTTCTTGGTATTTAGGGAATCAATAGTATTCCCATTCATGTAATCCACCTTTGGGAGCCAGTTGCTTTTTGTCAAGGGAAGAAGAAACTCCATGAGTGGCCATCTCAACAACAAGCTTCAGCTTCCAGGGTAAGGAGAAGTGAGTGGGAGGGGCAGGGGCCCAAAGGAGACTGAGGGTGCTTTGAATCTGTCCAAGACAGGTAGGTTGACTTCTTTTACATGGTATGTGCCTGGCCCTTGCTCTAGGAATAGGGGTATCTGCTAGTGTTCAAACAAACAAACAAAAAAATGAAGCCCTAATTCCCAGGCAGCGGCCCATGGGACCCTGTGTGGACTGAGGGATGGTGACAACAACTACCCTAGAAGGTAAATGTAGCTGTCAAGGTATCTGGGATACAGCTTAAGCTTTAGCTTCCCTGTTTTTTACCAACCTCTCCATCTACCAGAAACCAGTTGGTTTCCTCTACAGGGCCTGGGGTGGACTTGCCTACCAACTCATCACTATGCAGCTTCTCCAGCAGGGGACAGGATTGGCTGAGTCCTCTATTTCAGGTGTGAAGCCCTAGCTTTGGATAACAGCCAAACATGTAATATCTGATATAGGGATACCAAAGAACCAAGTAGACTCCCAGGTATGGCCATCTGTTTCCATTTCCCCTTAGTAGCAAAGAACCAAGTAAACTCCCAGGTGTTTTCATCCCCCAGCACCTAAAAATGTGTTGCTTCCTATCTGGCTCCTGGAATTTGAAGGGCATTTTGATTTACATATACAGTGATTACTGGAGTGAATAATACACATAGCCTAACTGGGAGTTTAATTGGAAATGTTAGTCATTGCAATGCATCCATGTCTGATTTTCACATTCAGTCAATTACCTACAGGTTGGGACAATATGTGCTGCACTCAGGGGATGTGATAAGGGGTAAAATGGCCTAGCTCAGGGGTGTCAAGTTTATTTTCACTGGGAACCACATCAGCCTTGCGGTTGCCTTCAAAGGGCCAAATGTAATTTCAACTCCTTAACAGTTAAAAAGCAGTTACATTTATACAACCCTAAAATTATTTTGGCCCTTTGAAGGCAACCACAAGGCTGATGTGGTCCTCAGTGAAAATGAGTTTGACATCCCTGGCCTAGCTATTGCTAGGTCTTGCAGGTGGGAAGCAAAATGGGAGATGTGAACCTTGAACAGTGGAAAGAGATGAACAATGTACTGGTGGAGAATGTAAATCATTCCAAAGGCGTGGCCATAGAGAAGCCTGGGAGAGTAATCACTGAGATGGAATAGGATGATATTGGAGGCCACAGTGGAGGTGAAGGCCAGGGTTTTGCTCTGAGGTGGGTTGGGCTGGATTTGGAAAAGGAATACTTTTGGGCACTAGTGCACCAGGATCTGGTGTGGAATGAACCCTGGGAATCAGAAGTCAGTCGACCTGTTCTCTGTGTTTCTGGGTCTCAGTTTCCTTGTCTTTCAAATAATTGGGTTTGGAGGAGATGGTTTCTCAAATGATTGTGACGTTTTAGGAAGTAGATCCATTTGTTTTTGGTAATAAAGACAGGCCCACTAAACGTCAGCCCTCTCCCCCAAATTTACCCTTTCTAAATCACACTCCTTTCTGCATGCTTTCCATTTGGGGGGAAACAGTACCAAACAAACCTGCAACCCTATTCATCTCTTCAACAGTATGACTGTACTTTCATTTTATGTGAATGGTAAACAATAGGGAAAACAATAGAAGCTCAGGTGGAAAATCAAGCCCACAAGAAAACCATGTGGGGATCTTATACAGTGGGGAGTGGCGGTACAGAGATTCACTACTGGCCCTGACTCCCTGAGTTTCATAAAAGAAGAGCTTTGAATGAAGGTGAATGAAGGGCCTGGCTTGGAGTGTGGATTGTTTCCCCTCTATTTTTCTCCCTCATCTCTTTCTGAGCCAGGTGAACTGTTTTGGAATTCTTCAATCCTCAAGATACCTACCCCTAATGATCAACACAATCATATCCACTAGTGACCTCAACAGAGATACCCTTAGCAGAGTTCCCTATACATCCATCCCATAGCTCAGCTCTGGTGCCAGTGCTAAACACCTGTGAAGCTCTTGCTCTCTGTAGAGAAGAGCTCCAGTCCTTCTAACTGGCCTGAAGGAGAGACTCGGGTAGCTATGGCTTCTTTTGGCCCTTCTCATATATGAATAGGGCTGGGCGTTGAGAGAAGGAGCCATTCATGCCCCTACCTCTAGTACTCAGTTTGCTTCTTTGAGCCTGAAAAATGCTCCAGAATTCCTTCCCAACTATTCTCAGTGATGGTCCAGGCACTTGCCATGGGAGGAGTCTCTGATAGAGATATTGGTTGTCTGCAGCTTCCTTCACCCCACTCCCAACAAGGTGGCAGCCCTAGTCCCCATACAGAGATGCTGGCAAGAAGTTGGAATTTAGCAAGGTTGGGTTGCTAGTAGGCACAAGATGTGTGTACTGATCTCTACCCCAGCCCCTGGAAAGAGGCTGAGCCACAGGCATACACACAAGGCAGTATAGACACACCACATGACACAGACACACAGTGTGGCATAGCTGTGTGACACACAATGTGGATTAGCCATATGGTACACACACAGTATGGAATAGATGCAATATTCGTACAGCACAGTACAGGCCCACAGCAAGAACACAATACAGTACTGACATGATGCACATACACAACATGATATAAACATGACTGCACATATACACAATATAATACAGAGTTGATATACACACAACATAGCATAAATATGATTTAGCACACACCCAACATGGTATAGACACACAAGGCACCCAATACAATGTGGTACTTGGAGCAGCACAGATATAGTCCAACCCCCATGTTCTCACACAAGACACACCACCCAGGCTGACCCTATGGGAAGACACTGGTGGGAAGGGTGTGGCCACCAGGTATAGCACTGCATCTGGCCAGTTGCATCTGCACTGGCTCCAGTTGTGTAACTGATGAGTTTGAGGCAGGCTGCATGGAGTTAATAAGCGAATGAGGAGAGGTGGAGGCAGGCCTAAGGAAAGCTCTGGATCTTGTGCAGAAATCTGGAGGTACTTGGTTAGTACAGGCTGATGTATCTCCTCTCCCCTCCAGATCTTCTAGTGCTGCTCCCCACCCCTATGGGTGCATGCTGCCTCACTGGGACTAGCCCTCTGCCTCGAGAATAGGCAAGCTTTTTTTGGCCATCCTTCTTGAGCCCTCTTTGAGCCCTGCCCCTCTCTGGAACTTTGACAACCCTCACTCCCCTACCCGCAACTCACTCCACTGCAGAATGAGCTCATGCAATGGGGGAGGCTATAGGCACACCATTCACCTGTGCAGTGAGTGGGATTTGGAAAAGCTTCTTGGAGTGTGCGTGTGGGCAGCACATAGGGAATGTCAAGGCCACTGGGGGCAGATGTGCTCTGGAGTATTTCTAGGAGCAAGTGGAACACCTAGGGTATGGCTTGGTCTTTTTATTTGAGAAGGTGGTATTGAGAATCATAGGGCTTTTCTTGGTTCCCTGGGGCTCTAATTTTGTTATCTCTACCTTTATATATCCATCTATCCTTCTATCCTTCTATCCTTCTATCCTTCTATCTTTCTATCCTTCCATCCTTCCATTCATCCATCCATCCATCCATCCACCCACCCACCTATCCATCAATCCTGACTTTGACTTAGGACCTGTGTATTCTGGTGTCCTCTAATAACATGTGTGCTAGCCTGGATCTGGCTTTATTGGGAGATATGCCTTTATTATGAGGTGCTGCTTTTCTTTGAAGACAAACACTGTGGAGGGAAAGGGGGGAATGGTAGGAAGTATTTCAGAGGTTGGGATTTTTGTTCAAGGGAAGTTTGTTCTCCTCCCTGAGAGTGCTAAACCCTTGAGAGGCTCAAGTGAATGTGAGGAAAGGCAGAAAAGGGAGGAATTAGAGAGACTCCATCTCTTTCATGGTTGGACATGGAAACCTTTGTGGAGAAGATAGGGTAAATTGCCACATAGGCACACACACACACATAAATAAAAATAAAAACTCTAGTATATATTTGCCCTACAAAATCTTAGGAAAATTATAAAAGACATCTATGTGGTGGAGACGGGGAAGGCAGAGAGAATTTCCAATTAGGATCAGAGACTGAAGCCCTCCACAGCTGTGAAATGATATAGGGGACTTCAGAGTGCTTCCTGCACTAGTGAAGGAGGTTGGTGAGATGGAAAATGGAAATGGAGGTGAACACTTGGAGTTGAGGGATGAACAGCAGTGCCAGGACTTCCGGAATCTCAGGTATCCTCAGAGCCCTCCTGTATTTGCCATCATCTTTCTGTTTTCCATGGTACACTGGATTGTACCTCCTCCAGTAAATATACAGATATTTCACAACTATCATATTTGATTTAGTCCTCCCAATGCTCGTCCAAGATGACTGGGACAGGTCTTTTCTACATGATAGCAAACTGATCCAGAGTAGTGAAGTGATAGCACTTCTCAACTTGAAACCCCCAGTTCAGTGCCCTTTCTGGACTATTACATAACAACGCTTGTTTACACTTCCCTGATTCTCTGCCTTTTAAAGGGATTTTCTGAAATTCACTGTAGTGCATGTGTGATGTTTGAGGGGTTGGATGAGGGAGTAGTAGCAGGTGGGAAAAGAGGTTCCTGCTCCCCCACAATACTTCTCTTGGCAGGTTTTCCCAAGAAAGAACAGCTGATTCCTTGCATCTTGTGGCAGCTGGTGTACCCAGCACTGAGTTCCTCGGAGCTGAAGGCAGCCTGGCCCCTTCTCATGGGCAGCGCCCACCCATGCTGAGGTCCTGCAGCGGTGGTGGTGTGAGGTGAGTAATGGATTCCAGGGCAGGGAGTTAGGGACCTCTAAGTTCAGGTAAATCCCACCTTTTCATAAGAGCTCCCAATTTCAAAGATTCTGACTAGACCTCACCAGCCAGGCTCCAGGGCATGGCCCCTTATTTCTGGGAGATTGTGCCCAGTACAGCTGCCCTTGGTCTCTTGGTTCTCCCATATTTAATGTGGGAATAACAGCCCTGACGTGCATCCTAGGGGGAGCAGGAGAAACAAATTCACAGTCACTTGCAAGTCATTTGCTAATGTTAAGCTCCATCCAAAGAGCTTCACTGTAACACAGACCTGCTTCCTATCAAGGTGTCATTTCCTTTTCCTCCTGCTTTCCTAATGCTAAAGTGGTATTTCAGACACAAGGCACAAATTACCAATCGGTTCTGGTAAATTCTAATACCTCAAAACCTTCATTGTACCTGCCTATTTAAAGTATAACCCACAACCCAATCCATCCAAGCTTCTTAACTTACACCTTCCAGAACCTTCTGTATGCCTTCTTACCTAACCAGGTAATACTTCCTTCCCCAGCTCTCCAACACTTGAATCTGGCAGATAATTAGCTCTTGCTTCTCGACCACCTAAAATAATTCTTGCATGGTTTCTGCAGTACTCATCTTAATAGGTAAACTAGACCATAAGCTCTTGAGGGGTAGGGACTAGATCTTACCAGTCTCTAGTCTCTTACAAGTGCCTGACTGCTTCCCAGCAGTTTTTCAATTTGAGCCTCTCTCTCTCTCCCTCTCTACTTCTTTCATGTTTCTTGGCCTGATTCTCTGATCATCTCTCTGTCTGTTTGTCTCTCAGGAAGCTGTTTTAACTTCCTCAGTTGGCTTCTCCATCTGGCCTTCTTTTGCTATACACTGTACTCCAGCCACCTGTTGTATCTTACCATCCCTCCATCTGTATGTCTGGTCTTCTGTCAGTTTTTTTGTCAGTTATTTAAGCAACTCTTATATTGTCCAAGTCAAAAATAAACAACCAAATTAAAAAAAAAACCCAAGAGAAAAACAAGCTAAATTTAAAAATAAACAAACAAGGCATATAGAATCCAATTCCCTTCCACGCTGAGCCTGTCCTGGGGCCTACAGGACAAAGGAAAACTGCAGCTCAGCAACAGGTGTTTATATGATGCCTTCTAGTGAAGGGCAAGCTCCAGAGTTTCAGCTGTGAAATTAAAGGTATGAAATTACAGCCCGGCCAATACTGATGCATTCAACTTCTAGAGATGCTGTGGTAGGGGATCCTCTATAGCTCTTGAACAACAGAAGGTAACTAGAACTGGCTAAAATAAGAAGCAAGTCCCTGAGTCTCTGCTGAGTGTTCTATGACAGCTGCAATAATAACATGTATTTATTGACTAGCTACTGTTGCCAGCACCCTACTAGGCATTTTACTTGCCTGAAACAATTTGATTCTATTGCAAAGAAGGTATGTTTTTTTCTAATAGGTACTATATTTGTTTTTTATTATAAAAATGATACTATCTCAAGGTATCATCAGTGTTTTACTCATGAGGAGATAGAGGTTGAGAGGTGCTAAGTAGCTTGCCTGTAACTGGACACGTGACTTTGGGAGAATATATGTCCTGAAGAATTTCTAAGATTCCCAAATTATTTTGATTCTCTTCAGTGCTCACACTCCCATACTCATACACTCACACAGTCCTATTTACTTCTTTGACTCATAATCAGTGTTCATGCTGAATACATAGTGATGATCATTCTTACCCCCCCACCCTCATAAACAATCATATTTATAAATTCAGTACACACAGGCACATTCTTATTGCTACACACTGACACCTACATTTATACATTCATATTTTCATACTGACACAGTCACACTTGCCATACATCCCACTCTCACATTCTCATCCACTCATACCTTTATGTTTTCTTATATTCTGACACACTCATAGTCACGCTTTCACAGTCACATCCACACAGATGATAGAATCACCCTTAACCCTCAGTTTTCTGCACCGTTATACACACTCTATACACAAATACATATTGACTTTCCTCTGCTTATTTCTCATAGATATACATACATTCAATTTCATTCCCCCCAACACATTTGCACTGTCACTATTTCCTTTTCACATTCATTCATTATAACTCAGCATAGGGATACATGCATGCTCACATTTATATATGCTCACACCATAAACACAATCTCACCTATTGAAACTTTTATACTTACTAGTTTTCTTACACTAGAATTACATGCTCTTATATACTCAGCACTGACACAATCTCTCTATCCTGTCACATTTACATATAATCACACTTACACATGAAAACACACTTATTTTGATATATATTAATACACTCACCTTCTCACTGAGGCATAGTTGCACCCTCCACCAAATTCAACGAATATAATCACAAACACACTCTCTTAAACTTAGCCATTTTCACTGACACCTGTCACCCTACTGTCACACTCATACACAATCACACACACACAGAGGTGTAGTCACCTTCACATGCTAACACATACATATACTCCCTCACATTCAGTACTCACAGATATTCACACACCCACACTGCACACCCAAACCTACATACTTACATTCTCACATTTTCACATATTCTTACATTCACAACCACATACTCAAAAGCATACCCATCCACACATTCCCATGGACACATAGTCATACTTCCTGACACCCATGTCCATTCATGTGTGCATTCTTCTCATGCACCAACTCCCATTCATACATTGCCCATATTCATACTGGCACAACCACACTTCTCACACATTCACATTCTTACACATTCTCACTCTCACACTGACACACCTTTACTTATATTGCTATATACATTCACACCAGTACACATGTAGTGACATGAATAGTAACTAACTGCAATTACCTTGACACACATCACACTGACCCACACAGTTCACACGGTCACAATCAATTTAGTAAAATGCATACATGCACTCATACAGAGGTAGTGACTGATTTCACATAGACTGACACTCACTCACACTCACAGTCATCCTGTTACATCCTCCCTTACACTGATAAACTTGATCACATTGACCCATATACATTACTGAACTTCCATCAGCTCTTACCTGGACTCTCAGATGGACACATTGTCACTGACACATACTTACATTGACACTGACCTACACTTTCTCACTGAGATGATCCCATCGATCCACATCTACACACATTGATTCACACATGCTAATAGTGAACCACACTCTCATTCACACACCCATATAATACTTTGCTAAACTCTTATACATACCCCCACATGAATATTGCCACATTCACATATTTTTTTCACTAACATACACTGTAACACACCCAATTACAGGTAATTGTTTATAATCATAGTTGTCACTCCTTTTTTCTATTTGCCACTAATACTGTTCTCACCCCTGCCAAAAGGTTTTGCAGCAACCTCTCACCAAAGAAATAATATTGGTCTTAACCAGGGTGTTAATGGGACTAGATCTTTCCAGAGCAGAAAGGAGTGGAATTTATATCTAGTATTAAAAAGATAAAGGTCAAACACACAGATAAAGTTTTATATCTTTTTACCAGTTTCCTTTTATCGAAATTATCTCTACTAGAACCTTATCTAGTACTATCCAAAAGAGATTTGAATTTAGGTGATTTATTTCTTTTTCTAGGAGTTTATGGCTAAACTTGCTGCCTTGTCTCCCTTCCAAGGGGAGGGGAAGGTAAATAATGTGTTTTTTATGCACTTCATGTTTTCCTATTCTAAAGTGTGTGTGTCTCCAATTTTATGTTTATGATCCCGAATTACCTGTGGATTAGACAAATGGCAAGTGCAATCCTACTCCAAGCAGGCATCTCTAATATAGGCAGGCCTACTTTTACTTCATTAACCCAGGAACATGGTATTCAAGAAAGAGGAAAAAAAGGTTAATGGGTTAGCAGTATGATAAAATAAATTCTACTGTGAGTGTGCATGTGCATCCATAGACTCACTGAAATTTCAACAGCTGTTACTAACAAGTTAACAGAGGAAATTTCTCAGTAGGCATGGATAAAAACAAGCGAACGAGACTTCTGGCCAAGATGGAGGTGTGGGTAGACACACTGTGCTTCCTCGCACAACCAAAATAAGAACAACAAAAATTAAGAAACAGAATCACAACCTGTACTGACAGAAAATTGAACTGTATGGAAATCTGACATCCAAAGAGTTAAAGTAGACACATTCATCCAGACTGGTAGGAGGGGCAGAGCCGGGCAACTGGGCAGAGAGGAGTCATGGCCAAAAAAAAAAAAATGCAGCAGCTGGTGGACCCCAGGCACGCAGGTGGTGGCTGGTGGATGCTGGGTGCACAAGGTGGCGGCTTGCAGACCCAGTGAGGCAGCGGATTGTGGAGAGGCATGGTGCACAAGGCTGCTGGTGGACCCAGTGAGATGGTGGATTGTGGAGCAGGGCAAGATGCACAAAGTGGCTGGGGGACAGGGTGGTCCCACATTCACATGCAGATAAACCAGGTGAAACTGGGGAGTGAGACAGACCTCTTAACCCAGGGTTCCAATGCAGTGCAGGGAAATAAAGCCTCAAAACACCAATTGAAAACACCTGTGGGGGTCGAGGTGCTGGGAGAGACAAATGGCAAGCCTCCCAGCCTCACAGGAGAGTTCGTTGGAGAGACCCACAGGGTCCTAGAATGTACACAAACCCACCCACATGGGAATCAGCACCAGAAGGGCCCAGTTTGCTTGAGGGAAGCGGCAGAAGGGACTGAAATCTGGCAGAGAGAGCAGGAAGCACCATTGTTCTCTCTGAGACCTCTCCCTCACATACAGCATCACAAGACAGCAATGTGTGTTGCCCTACCTGGGCAAACACTTAAGGCTCCATCCCTCATACGTAACAGGGGCATCAAGACAAAAAAAAAATGACCCAAAAGAAAGAACAGATCAAAGCTCTAGAACAAATACAACTAAGCAACAAAGAGATAGCCAACCCATCAG